GAAGCTGGAGTAGATGGAGAAGGATAGTAAGTTGGTGCTGGAGTGGTTGGTGGCAATGTGGGTTTTGGACATCTCGGGTCGTTTGATCCAGGGTAACAGGATGGTGGAGCTGGTGTCGATGGTGCTGGGTAGTAGGTGGGAGGAGGTGAGGGTTTAGGACATCTTGGATCGTTTGATCCTGGATAGCAAATTGGTGGAGCAGGAGTAGAGGGAGGTAAATAAGTATTTGGAGGAGTCGATGGTCTCGGACACTTTGGGTCATTTGATCCTGGGTAGCATACTGGTGCTAGAGTGGTTGGAGGCAATGTGGGTTTCGGACATCTTGGGTCATTTGATCCAGGGTAACAGGATGGTGGTGCTGGTGTTGATGGTGATGGGTAATATGTAGGAGGAGGTGATGGTTTTGGACATCTCGGATTGGTTGATCCTGGGTAGCACACCGGTGGAGCTGGAGTAGATGGAGAAGGATAGTAAGTTGGTGCTGGAGTAGTTGGTGGCAATGTCGGTTTCGGACATCTTGGGTCGTTTGATCCAGGGTAACAGGATGGTGGAGCTGGTGTTGATGGTGCTGGGTAGTAGGTGGGAGGGGGTGAGGGTTTAGGACATCTAGGATCATTTGAACCTGGATAACACACTGGTGGCGCTGGTGTCGATGGTGTTGGATAAGATGTTGTAGGCGGTGATTGCTGTGGACATCTTATATCTTTTGATCCTGGATAGCACACCGGTGGTGCTGGTGTGGATGGTGAAGGGTAGTATGTTGGAGGAGGAGAAGGCTTAGGACATCTTGGATCGTTGGATCCGGGGTAGCAAACTGGTGCTGGAGTTGTTGGTGGCAATGTGGGTTTTGGACATCTTGGGTCGTTTGATCCAGGGTAACAGACTGGTGGTGCTGGTGTTGATGGTGCTGGGTAGTATGTTGGTGGAGGTGATGGTTTAGGACATCTCGGGTCATTTGAACCTGGATAACATACTGGTGGTGCTGGTGTCGATGTTGTTGGATAAGATGTTGTAGGTGGTGATTGCTGTGGACATCTTATATCTTTTGATCCTGGGTAGCATAGCGGTGGTGCTGGTGTTGACGATGCTGGATAATATGTTGGAGGAGCTGATGGTTTAGGACATCTAGGATCATTTGAACCTGGATAACACACTGGCGGAGCTGGTGTTGATGGAGACGGGTAGTAAGTTGATGGTGATGTTGGTTTAGGACATCTAGGATCGTTGGATCCTGGGTAGCAGACCGGTGCTGGAGTGGTTGGTGGCAATGTGGGTTTTGGACATCTCGGGTCGTTTGATCCAGGGTAACAGGATGGAGGTGCGGGTGTTGATGGTGCTGGGTAGTATGTTGGAGGAGGTGATGGTTTAGGACATCTTGGGTCATTTGATCCTAGATAACACACAGGCGGTGCTGGTGACGATGGAATTGGGTAAGATGTTGGAGGTGGTGATTGTTGTGGACATCTTGGGTCATTTGATCCTGGATAGCAGAATGGTGATGGAGTTGTCTGTGGAAGAACTTGAACAGTTTGGTAGTTTGGTAATGCTGATTGACATCTGTCTTCTGGACAATTTCCCAAGCATAACTATAATATAATTTACATTTTATTATTTGTTTAATTCAGTGAAAAACGGATATATTTGACGTTTACTTCAACATTGCAAGTGAGATACACTTGGTGTTTGTCCGGGAATTTGAATGCTGTGACATTTGTAAATCCAATTGTTGTTATACCACTTTGGTCAACAGTTTGGGTTTTTTTCCATTTTGATATTAATTTTTTTCTCCTTAAAAATGTATAAAGTTATTATTCAAACATCTTACATTGTATCATTTAAAGACTTTTTTTATTATATATATTATATAGATTTTTATTATTAATATTTCTGTACTTTATGAAAATATTAATTATTCATTACTTTGGACATCCTGATGAATCAGTCAATTGTATACTTGTAGTGGTTGAAGATTCATAATTATCATTATCGTATGCCCAACATTCTCTTACTCTTACATCGTAAGCCTCGTCAGTACTTTTTACGTATACAATTAGTGAAAGTGATTCACCAATTTTTATTATCTTGTCGACTGGTGATGTCTATATCAAATAGACATTTCTATTAGTACTCTTTTCAATCTTTTAAATATAGATAGCTTACATTTGGGTATTGACCTCTTTGTATATCCATCCAGCATTGTAGTGTACCTTCATTCCCGGAAGGAACAGAGACCACTTCCAACATATCAACTACGATAGGCTTGAAACGTACTCGTTTACCTGTACCCGGTTTTGTTTCTGAAGGACATGAGACTTTTCGTGCTAAATCCCATTCTTCCTAAAAAGTTAAAAGTAACTTTAAAAGTTATAACATGACACATAAAATTGTATTTATCTACTATACACCAACTTTGTTTTATTAACTTCACAGTTTTTATTTTATCTTTTTGTACTACAGTTATATAAGTAATAGGTCACCTGAATTGTACTATCTGTCTGGATTATTATTGTATTTTCAATGGAGCTTAAGTCACAACTACCACCGTCTTCGCTAGATGAACAACCGTCATCAACCGGCGGACGACAATCTTCTATTGGTATCTGGAACTGATATGAGTTCTTTCCTGAATTGCTCTGCACAAATCTACAAACAATATGTTCTCGTTATTAGTTTCATTTATAACTATAATTTTTGTACATAATTAATATATTCAATTTTACTAATAACTTAATTATAATTTATGTTACCGTGATATTAATTATAATGTTTAGTAGGTTCAGTTTTCCCTTCGACACTCCAATTTTATTTGAACTTAAGTATTTACTCATGTATATAACCTACCTTGAAAATAAATAGAAGATTACTGACATTTTCCATAGTGATATTTAAATTCAAAATATTTAATACGCCTTGGTTGTTGAAGTATTTACCATATATGCAGTAATTTATTATTCCGTAAAATGTATATTATATGTAATTTGTATAGAATTATGCTGTAAAAATGAATCCTCTATTCATACCATTAAATGGTTTTCAGTACACACGCTGATGAGTTAACTTATTATAATATAGGTACCTCTCTATATTTTAGTCTAAAACTTTTTTCATAAATATAAGATCGAACCTAGTTATACATGAGTAGCTTTTTTTGTGGCACCGCCAGATGAACTGTTTGCTCATTGCTTAACTACATTTGCACATTACTTAGCTCCTAACACGTCATGATTTAACCACATTTGCATGAGTGATGCAGAAAATGATCAAAGCATGTATCAGTCTTTTCAATTACTTGAGTAAAAGTATTTAAGTAAAAGTATTCAAATAATTTTTTAGTACTCAAAAAATTATTCTAAATGCATTTGAAAAAAAGACTTGGACGCAGTATTTAAATACTATTTTGAAAGTATCTATATTTAAAATCGAATGCTATTTCTAAATACCTTTTTCGTCTTGCTTTATGTAAGAGGACAAGCAAATTTTAATTAAATAATACAACGTTTTACAATATTTTTAATTTTTATTTATAAATCATCGTCGTTAAGTATTAAACTATTAATGAACTGTAATATTTTTAGAAGCCTAAACTTCCCATTTAATAATGTAACCGTCAGTTGATTTCCTCATAAAATTTGAAGTACCTTTACTTGAATTTCATTTAAAACATAACTTTACATATGTATATAAACATTATACACCCAATACGCTACAGACATTTGGTTATTCCTTTTTATCCGGCCTTGCATTATCGCACAACATGGTTGAGTATCATTGTAAGTGTATGATTTAGTGTACGGAATGTGTACTATGTATTAGTTTTATATAAAATATTATTCCTCTGCAGTTCAAAGTATAATATTATTATAATATAATGATTTAATTAATAGTATATTTTGAAATTATAATAATGATGATTATTGTAGATCTGGGAGACTATGAATAACGTATTAATATCAGTTTACTGACTAATGATAGGGATTGCAGACTGTGATGGTGAAGTTCTTTTGATTATAAAATAACTGACTATGCATAGCTACACTGTCACTTGTATATAGGATGTAGCTAGTAGCTACTAATGACTGTATGATACATAAGATTGCTGTCCAAGTTTTAGTATTTGACAGTGTATATCCCAAAAACCAGCCTACATTTCATTTTATTTTAATTAATTTAAGTTAAACTAGAAAGTGCTAAAATCAAAAATTAATTTAGTTTACTAATGATTAAATTCATGTATAAGGTCAATGGGTCAAGTTAAAAAGGTAAATCACATTTTTGTATTAAAACAGTATTTAGAAGTATTTTAAAGTATCTATAAATACTTTTTAAAGTATCTTTTACAAAACTGGTATTTATAGTATTTAAAAAGCTGTTAGCTAAAATGTGTATTTTTGGCTAACCCTTAGAATATATAATATTATTTACTTAAATACATTAAATCATGTAATGCTTATTAGTTATGCCGCCTAAAAATTTGAATCATATTAATAATTCATTTAATTTTTAGTACGAGTTCTAGAATAAATAAATGTTTGTTAAAAAGTTGTATTTTTCCAGCTTCAAGAATCCCGAGTACTTCAGTGTATTCTTTAAAATGGCCTTATTAAATACTATCTTAGTGATATCATTCGAGATGTTGGCTTGTTGTGTATTCAATTGGAAGTAATATAATTGTACAAGTAAAATTCGTCATTTCCACAAAACGATTATGAATTTACGTATAATGTATCATTTGAAACATTAAAAACACATCTTTGTGAGATGGCGACTAGTGTAATATTAAAAAGTAAAAAATACCATTAAATAATACAGTTTGACATGAATTACACCAGATCTAAAATTACAGAGTTTTTCTAACATGGTAGTGTATATATGAATTTTTCATAAATTATTTTGTCATAATATTATATACTATTATTGTGTACTTAATAAATAGGCACCTATATTTATCATCAGTAGAAAATTATTATCAAAAAATGTTAATAGCATTTATTTTGAATAAATGACAAGTAGTGGACAGCATAGCTACTTAAACTTAAACTTGGGTTGGTAAGGAACATAATACTGATTGACTATGGAACGTCTTGTTAAATAATTAATAAAATTGTTCTAAGTCAATAGATGAAAAAAAAATCAATTTGATGGTACAAGACTGCAGATAACACGTCAATTTTCTTATATACCAATGCCTTACATCATAAAATTTGAATTTCATTTATTGTTATACGATACAATTTATTGTGGTCGTTATTACTTATAAATTAGAAAAAATAGTTAATTTTATTTAATTAAGTGTATACGATACAGGCATGGTGGATAAATTGAAAAATAGACATCAATAGAAATATAATAACGACATTGACCAGCATAATATAATTTGAAAATTACGACAAATCGTGTAAAGTTTCGTTAATTATTTGGTGGACCGAGATCATATTGTGTAGGAATCACAGGTTTGTATAGAATCGACAAAGGACATCATTATATTCCCCCCCCCCCCCCCCAAGCTTTCGGCGAGATCCATGAAGGACTTTCGTCGTGCACTCACATGCATTTGGGGTCGTCGTGTCGACCTTTGCTGTAGATCACGCCGTAAAACGGTTCCAGGAATTCGATTTCCACGGCTATGACGCCGTTCGTTGACGCTGCGCCGCAGTTCACGCGGATGCCCTTGAGCTGCACCCTGTGCTCGACGCCATTTTCTTGCCCGTAATCGCTCTGGCGCACGAACCGGTCGGCCATGGCGGAGTTCATGATTATCACGCCGGATTCATCTTTGCCGGGGTCCACGCCAATGTCCAGCAGCGATCCGTCACCCTAGAAAACCAGACGTAAATCGTAATTATTAGTGCACATATTATTATAGGTAAGTCACTGATTTCAATAAATACAAAATAAAATGTCGTCGATGAAGGCCTGCAACGAAAATCTCAAATGAGAAACCCATCTCAAACGATAGTTTTTTTTTATGATCGATAAAATGCGAAAAAGTGACGGCCAGAGCAGTAATCGTTGATTGTATATCCGCCACTAGTATTATTATTTTTATTGTTTTTTAATAACATCGAAAAATCGATTTGATAACCACAACACATTTTGGAGAATATTTTTGCGTTCTTCCTGTTACGACAGAATTGGTTTTTTTTTTTTACCATAAATCTTATGCTTTTCATAAGATATATAGGTATTATTAAATATGTTTTTTTCGATTTATCAGGATTATTTAAGCTTTTAAACATAAAATGCTCTTGACTAGTACCTACCTATATTTTTTTTTACAAACGATTTGTTAAAGATTACTGTAGGTACATTTTGCAGACAGTTAACAGGCAAATAAATTGGAACAGTAAAGTACTATGGCAATAAATTCAAAGATCAAAAATTGTTAAGTCTGCGTATTTATATCAAAATCGCTTTTATTTTGGCGTTAAAATGGATACTCACTTAATATCTTCGTTATTTATCATCCGAATTTATAGAATAATAATGGCTGTAATATAATAACACATTGTGTAACCAAAAAAATAAATTGTAATAAGTATGAATTAAAATAATCGATAATTGCGTAAGCGTAGACCTAAGTATAGCTGACATTCTTTAAAATTCACAAGAAATTATATAATCATATGTCTCTTACTGTATACTTAGAGTTCAAGACATTGACCATTTTTAGTCAGCGTGTCCATGTTGAAAGACTCATAATGTATTATATTATGGTCGGCGTTTGACTTTAGAGTCTAGACAATTATCGTTTACTCAAATGGACATGTTCGTCGAGGTTATAACAGTTTAGTATAATTTAACCACATACATACCTGTTGTAATATACCTCAAATGCAAACAAACAAATAATACGACTTTGCCTAGGCCAATGAGATTATAGGAGCGGTAAGAAACTTTGACAACCAATTTAATATAATCATCGGTAGTAATCCCTGAATAGATATTATTAACGAACAACTATTATTCGAATAACGCATTAATACGAAATTATTGATCTGGCATAGCGAATAATATATATTAATAATATTGTACATAATATTACACAACATAACCTAACATTCTAAATCATTAATTATTGTGATAGGCGTCTATTTAATATTTTAACTTATTCCCTGAACATAAAAGTCACTAAATCCAAAATAACGATCCAAATAATTCATTCGATTGGAAAATAATTACAATAATAAAATAAAAAAACAAAAAGAACAATAGAATATATATATATATATATATATATATATATATATATATATCAATTATAAAATGTTATAAAATTGTCAAATTATGAAAGAAAAAAAAAATTTAAGACCGACGCTGAAATCAAAACCTGCGTCTTCGAGTTATTGGTAACGACCGTTCACATTTTATTCGAAACCTATACAGACAAACCGCGGTCAGATTATTTATCTAGTAGGTATAGACTCTTTATATTATCATCTGCAGAGTATTATTTGTATTATATTATGTAAACACCGAGGTCTCTGCAAATGGATACAGCGCATGGTCGGTCGTAAACCCCGTAAACGATCCATCGGGCTGGAAAAACAACGTTATAATAATATTATGTTACACGCGTATATGGCCCGTGAGTAAGTAGTGGAACATAATACGACGTTAACGAATCGTTTGTCGTAGGCGTCCCCTGTACCTACACGCACATACGCGGGTAGGTAGCCGCGGTGGCGAGATTATGTCGTTGATAATGATAATACTAATAATATACCTATAACACGGGTGACCGATAAGACAAACAAAATATATGATATCGGTAGTAATCGTTTCATAAGCGTAGATAATAAAGAGATCTATTGCCTGTGTTTAATAAGACGCCGCAATACGATACGAGATTATTATCACTATCAGTAGAAGAGATAATAATCCCAACGAAACAAAAAAAAAAAAACTCGACGGCGAACATATAATACGTCGATTTATACCTATGTATACACATACACATACCGTCACTCGCGTATATTAAATAATAATAATAATAATAATATATTGTTTCCGGTCGTGGTGAAAGCGCCGACGACGGTACTGATCAAAGGTATTATACATTGTGGTCTCCGCCCGTCCCTCCTCCCCCCCCCGCGCCACCCCGCATAACCACTCGGTTGAAGCTGCGAATGGTATAAAAGGATTTAACCGGCACTTAGGTACATAAAAACATACTTCCTCGCACGACGCCCGTGACGCCAGTCTTGTACGCGGACCCGGCGGAAAGGAAAAGTGCGGGGGAGGAGGAGTTCATAAACTCTTCCACGGTACCGGGTTCGGGTCAAAGGTCGTACGTTATTATAATAGTGTTGTGTGCTCGCTGGTACGATAAAACGACGTGAAAGGAACACGACGGCGCGGCGGCGGCGGCGGCGGCGGCGGCGTCATATAACAGGTGGGTGTACGAGACTTTTTCGAACGATCGACGCGGTGAATATAATAAAGCGAGACGAACTTTTATTTATTTATCATTAACATTCCGCCGGCCGCGCATGAATCGCGATGGCCTCTCCACGTCCCCGGGGCGCTGCAGCTGGAGACGCTCGTGTGACGCAATTTGCCCGCTCGAGCGAGAGAGGAGGAGGGGGGGAGGACGAACCCGCGATGTCGCGATTCCGTCTACGAAATAATTACTGGAAAAAAACCCGTCCGATGATACTTTGGCCTCGATCCGGTGCGACGATACGTGATTATATACACATTGACGCGAATGGTCTGTAAGTTTCGAATAAATTGTGAATGGTTAAAAACACACAATGTTATTATTATATTCGCGGGGTTTTTGCAGACGGTGAAAAGAATGCAGGTGGGTTTTGCATGCACGTACTATGGTAATAGTGTAAGACGACACTGCAGCAAGTAGCGCAATAATGTGCAACTGTGCGAGACGATACGGCACGATTCGATAATAATAGTCTTCGGCAAATCGAATATAATATTTTGGCGATTGATGGGCGTGAGTGTATGTAATATTATGTGCCTGGTGTCGTTGTTACACGCGTAGGTCAGACGACGGCTTTACAAATATTTAATTCGACGAACCGGGCGCATTATAATAATTTAGTATAATATGCGTATAGTAATAGTGTTGTGTAAAAACAGGTACATTAAAATATGCAAAGCTGAACGCGTGAAAATTAAATGGTTTCGAAACGCAATAATAAGCGTCGATAACGTTTGCAAATATTGTGACTGCACGTGTCAACGTTGACAGCGGCGGTGCAGGTCTCGATTCTGCCTGCGATATAATGTTATACAATCTCAGCTGTGGGTGAGTCGTGGCCCGACGTGTTGTATGCGACGTCGATGAATTTCGGGCCGATATCCTTTTAGTTGTATAGGTGAGTGGATAATTCACCAGACTCCTCGTGTGCTCCGTAATATTTGAGCACAGTGTACTGCTAACTGCAACCATTGGGGTACCACGAAACACTGCGAAAGTTTTCACTTAAAATAAATACCTCGTTCTACACCATCCCTCGTATAACATCCATAACAACTCCTCCGATGTGTTACTTAAAGTTTGTTCTGACTTTTTGAGACTTACATAAATTGCAAAATTAAAGAATTCAAATCGAAAAAGATGTGTGTAAAAGAATCGTGTATCACACAACAGACGACAAAACTTAAACAAAAATAACTGGCCAATTCGATGGGATCGAATTTAATGATGAATTGAATAAGTTCTAAGTCGTTGCCAAACCAGTAATCTAAAATAAAAGATAACAAAATAAACCCACTCACTGGACAAAAAAAAAAAAACAATAATAAAATAATACATTTTTGTGAGACGACTCAATCAACCTCCCCGTGGTGTAAGTGTAACCTTTATAACGATAATAGGCTGACATGAAGTGGGAATTATTGTTATATGGCCGCCATTCGGACGTCCCTCTCATAAATCCGGCCAGTCACTCGTATTTGATAGAGAGGGCCACAATTCGCCACTGCAGAAAATCCCAATGAGGATTCAACGTTCTCCGAACACCCATCGTCGGATGGGGTGCGAATTAAAAAGACTAAACTGAAAATCAAGTCGTTTTCTTGTTCAGAGTTTTAAAGTTTTGGACGAGTTGCAATCGTCGTCGAGAATTTACGGCAGTTTGGTTTTCTTCCGAGGCCGAGAAATGAAAAATCAGACGAGAAAAAAGGCGTGGCCGAAATGATAAAGTAGCTTCGACATTAGTGAGAATAATAAACATATTAATAAAATAAACTTTCGACTTGAGAAACGTTTCGCATTTTTGCACTCAAGTGGTGCCACCAAACTTGCTAGACTCGTGTGGATACTCTTTGGAAACGGTAAACCAAAGTCAATGAATACGAAAATAAATAGTTCGTCACACGTCTTGAATCGTACTCGACTCAAGTGAATATTGCTGACTCGAGGAAATCGATGCGTGTCATGTTCATGCCGGTTGGCACGCTGCATACAATACATGGGTATACATTTAACCTTCCGCTTTATCCGTGAATCATTTTTAAAGACTGTATTTCCAAGTCGAGATGGTTTTCAATCGATTCGGTTGAAAAAAAAATTATTAAAAGAGTTCAACGTAAATTATAGTGAATTACTATTCGGACGAATTTGTTTGAAGAAAAAAAAACGTATGGGTACTCGTTGACTCCCGAAATGTGACGCATTTATCAATTTCAGTCAAATCGCAGGTGTGAAAAAATGCACCTAACCGTTAAAGTAATCGAAATGGATTTAACCTAGACCGCAGCATGAATGCCCCGCACAAACGTTGAGTAATAGGTATAACTCCATTCGGAACGTTATTCACAATGTTTACCTAATATTTCGCGGCGGGATC